AAATATATAATATTATGAAATATATGTATATATTAATATAAATATATAATATATAACATATAATATATAATAAATATATAATAAATATATAATAAATATATAATATTAATAAATATATAATATTATGAAATATATAATATTATGAAATATATAATATTATGAAATATATGTATATATTAATATAACTTTAAAAATCAGTAGATCACTTGAATCCGCTACCTTGGTTTCAACCTTATGGCCTCTTCAGGCGATTTTTATCAATTGAACTCTCAACGCTTTATTTTAAAAAAAAAAACCCAAAACTAATGAACGCTATATTATTTAAAAAAAAAATAAAGCGTTGGGAATTCAATTGATAAAAATTGCCTGAGGATACCGTAAGTTTGAAACCAAGGTAACAGATTCAACTGATCTCCTGACTTTTAAAGTTAAAAGCTCTACATGTCTTTTTTACTTTTATTTTATTTTTTTCACACGTGTATTGAGCACTTTTTAATACTACTGTTTCCTGGTCTGATTCAACTCTGACCATTAACCTTTTATGTATTATATTTTAATATATGTAAAAATCTCATTAATTTTTTCGAGAATATATTTTAAAATTTTATTAATTGTCAGAAGTTTTCAAATTGATCGCCCGTGCTTATATCAAAGTAACCAATTTCCCTTAGATTATTTTTCATTTATGTTTTGATAATGCTCCCGTAAAAGGAGCGAAACATTAAAAAGAAAATAAAAAAATTAAACATCCATCTTGTTTTTACGTATTCCATCTTACTACATTTTTTCCCGATATTTCATATCAATCGTTTATGGTAATATTATATATAAATTAAGTATTAATTAATATTTACACGCATTTTATGCACACCTTGATATTTGAAATCCAAGTTGTGTACTAAATCTGACAAACTTTCACAGAGAATGATTGATGCAGATTTTCGTTCAAGTGTTCGATGAATTGTTACTATTCTCTATTGATATTATATCGTGATATGTGCAAAACTTTGATAATGGCACGTCATTGCGAGCTAATAAATCGCTGTCAGATATCTACGTTGAGAAACAAAAGAAATATAGACAAATAAATATGATCAATTTTACTGTTTCAAAGCTCTTCCAGCGTATTGAATCATATGACACTGCGTAGTTTTCACACCCACAGCATACATTAATAAATGACTTCTTTGTTGTTTCTTCAACCACACCTGAAAGATGAGATTTTAAAACAGACATGTTCAAGACATGCTTTTCATGTAAAATGTTTTTTTTACAAGCGAGAAATATTAGAAGAATACCACTTCTGCTTCAAATCAATTAATGATAACTACAATATATATATATATATATATATGTTACAATGGATCATTCATAAAAAAGGTAAATTAGTAAAGTTAATGAGAAAAAATGGCGAAGTAACTTCACTAAATTTTAAAAATACATTAACACACTAACCACTCGATGGATATTATGATCCTTGTTTTTTTTTTTTTTTTAAATTATAAACTGTATTAGGTCTTCCTTAAATATAAAGTACTTTCGATAGGTTCTCCGGTCATCATCAGGCATGGAAACTATTTTCCTTTTGGTAAAATTCAGGTGGCATCCGAGATGAAAAAATATAAAGTAGAAGCATAGATGATGATATGCCGCTAAACAAAATCAACCAACCAAAATCCAAATATTTAGATTTCGGTATTAAATAACCCATAGAGGTTGATATGCCGCTAAACAAAATCAACCAACCCAAATCTAAATATTTAGATTTCGGCATTAAATAAACCATAGAAGTTGATATGCCGCTAAACAAAATCAACCAACCAAAATCGAAATATTTAGATTTTGGCATTAAATAACCCATAGAGATTGATATGCCGCTAAACAAAATCAACCAACCAAAATCCAAATATTTAGATTTCGGTATTAAATAAACCATAGAGGTTGATATGCCGCTAAACAAAATCAACCAACCCATTTATTTCTAAATAATTTAGAATTTATGGCATAAACAAAATCAACCAAACAAAATAAACCATAATCCATAGAAGATTGCCGCTAAACAAAATCAATGCCGCAAATAAACAAAATCAACCAAACAAAATCAACCAACCCAAATATTTAGATTTCGGCATTAAATAATCCATAGAGGTTGATATGCCGCTAAACAAAATCAACCAACCAAAATCCAAATATTTAGATTTCGGTATTAAATAACCCATAGAGATTGATATGCCGCTAAACAAAATCAACCAACCAAAATCCAAATATTTAGTTTTAGAGATTGATATGGTAAACAAAATAACCCCGTGGAGGTTGATATGCAAAATCTAAATATTTAGATTTCGGTATTAAATAAACAAAATCAACCAACCAAAATCGAAATATTTAGATTTCGGCTAAACAAAATAACCCATAGAGATTGATATGCCGCTAAACAAAATCAACCAAAATCCAAATATTTAGATTTCGGTATTAAATAACCCATGGATTGGATTTGATTATGATATGCCTAAACAAAATCAACCAACCCAAATCTAAATATTTAGATTTCAGCATTAAATCAACCATAGAAGTTGATATGCCGCTAAACAAAATCAACCAACCAAAATCGAAATATTTAGATTTCGGTATTAAATAACCCATAGAGATTGATATGCCGCTAAACAAAATCAACCAACCAAAATCCAAATATTTAGATTTCGGTATTAAATAACCCATAGAGGTTGATAATCCAAATACTAAAATCGCCATAGTGACAACTCTGTCAACACAACATAATTCTCCTTACTAAAAAGTCTTTTAAAAATAAAATGTACCTTTCTGAAACTTTACTTGAAGAGGAACTGATTTAAAGTTTAATTCATCTGAATTAAATCAAATATTACTTTTAGTTTAAAACATCGTAGAAAAGCTTTTTTTAGACATGGAAGCGAGCGTTTTTATGAAGGTTTAACATACTAATACTAATCCTTGCTTTTCGAACGTGCTATGAAGGATTAAAAAAATGAATAAAATCATAAAAATACTTGGATCTTCCCTCTTAATAATAACATAAACATTTTGATGATAAAACTGGTCAATCTGGCTATATTTCATCTTCTATGTGCCGTAGGACATTAGTGATCTTGGTTTTCCATAATTTCATGACCTTTGTAGCTCTTTATAAATTTTGTCTTTTTTTATCTCCTAAATTTTGCCAGTTAAGTTATACGAGGTTTTCTTCTGTCCCTCTTGCCTTCAGTCTATCCTGGTAGTAGCAAATTGGAGATAACAGGGATGTGGATTTACAGGATGATGAGTATTCCACTGATGCAACAATGAAGTCGTAAAGAAAATATTAACGATAAGAATACTTATACTCAAAATCAAAGCGAGACAGCTGACATTTCTTGAACGCATAACGAGGAAAGGAGGTTTAGAAAACGTGACGCTTACAAGACACATCGTTGGCAAAAGTAATAGGAGAAGGCAGCGGGACATTTATCTGACGTACTTGTGCGAGTGGATGGCGGAACCGTTGGCAGGAGTACTGACAATGGGAGAAACGTTGTTAAAAGATCACAAGTGATAGGAAGCTGTGGAGAACATGAAAGGACACAGCACGTAGGAGAAGACAAATAGTCTTTTATCATATCTGCCAACTGTTGTAACGTGACACTAGGTGCTAGTAAATTGAAAAACATTAAATTCCAATAGACTGAAGATATAGCAATGACTAGACGAAGGAAAATGAAAGGAAAAGATATTTGTTTTTAATCGAAAAAACAAAAAAACAAAAAACAAGGTAGAAGACCGAAAAACACTAAATTCCGATAGACTGAAGATATACCAATGACCAGACGAAGGAAAATGAAAGAAAACGATATTTGTTTTTAATTGAAAAAAAAAAAAAATCAAACTAGAAGACAGAAAAACACTAAATATATAGACTGAAAATATACCGATGATCAGACGAAGGAAAATCAAAGAAAATGATATTTGTTTTGTTTTTTGAAAAAGAAAAAAATAAATAAAAGCTAGAAGAAGGTAATTAAATTTCCCTGGGGAGGTAAAACAAAGAAACCACCTGGTTTCGATTAGAACTGAAGCTACTTGGCGAACTGTTTTGGAGGACCAACGACCTCCCGGAAAAAATAGATAATATTTTTATGCCCATTGTTAGTGAAGGCGAAGGGACAGATCCCTGGCTGCAAGTTCGACCGATAAATGAGTATTGACTTTTAGAAGCAGAAGATAGCTAAAAGAATGACAACATTTTCGTCGGTCGAAACGTGATAAAACTTCCCAACATCATGGGATTATTCCCTTTTTGCCATTTGTTGACCAAAGGGTTGACGATGGGATAAGAATGATCGATTCCGGATGTGAAAACAACCACACACCAAAAACACGATAAGAAAGAATTTTGAACGATAATTAAAATTAGGCCGTTGGACTAGACCACGCCTAGCCCTTAGAGGACGGGTTTGATCAGGTGTCTAAGAAGGAGAGAGCCCAAGTGGAATTTCAGGGAACTCGGAGGACCGTCCATTGTTACAAATTCATGACGGTCGTCTTCAAGTAGAATCCAGATGTTAGCAGTGAATATTTCGGAGACAGTAGGAAAGCGTAATTCAGGTTCGCAGTGGATATCGCAGCAGAGCGTAGTTCTTCCTTCTGGCAAATTGGCACTGGTCATTCCGGTAGGGTAAACAAAGATGACCGCCTTTATACACGACAGATACAATGTTCTGCGGCTTCTGATTCGTTAACCTTCTATTGGTGGACTATAAAGGGAGTTAAGTCATTTTCACTAACTCACTAGTTACATGATATATGCACAAAAAACTGTAACATGCATGCCCCGTTGGCAGTGATGGTGAGAGGCACTCACACAAAGCAGGAAGGAGACGGGTTTGATCAGGTCACCAAAAGAAGAAGGCCAAGGTAGACTCCCCCATATTTGGACATTTACAAGGAGAGCCCTGATTGGTAGTTGGCATACGCAGAGCACATCATACCCCAGCTCTTGCGCATGGACACTGCGGCAGAGAGAGGCAGAGAAAGCGGAGACACCGCGGACAGTCTACGGCAGAGAGACCACCGCTTCGCGTGATCTCATGTGACTTGCCTCCCTGAAGAAAAAGCCTCCGACCCAAAGCCTTGTTCCAGAAGCCTCGTTCCAAAGAATTCTAAGAACAGTGTCACGAAGATCGGGAAGGGCCGAGAGTTATAGCATAGTGAATATACTCTTGCTTAAGCTATCAATAACAGTACCATCAACTTTGTATCAAGTAACTGTATATAAATATTATTTTTCTTCTATCCAATTTATTTTTTGTGTGACTTTACTCTGACCGAAACAAAACCAAGTCATCGATTCTAGTTGACCATTCGGACCAAGCCAGTCTTGTGATCATTTAATCACAACGTGGGGCGGAACAGGACTTTAGCCGAAACGATCAACTCTACGATCAGCCGAGGGGTTCGAACTTGAATATGGAGCGGCCAGAGTGGACGTCTTAGTAGGAAACATTTTTAAATCTATTACATGTACATTTTAAAAATATTTGCCTCCAAATATTTCTACGATTTGATCCTATTTAATGAGTCGTTAGTATCTGGATACTATTAGCTAGAAACAAAATTATTCGTATATTTCCTGATTGAGATATAGCAGAAATTATTTTTATATGCTAAAGTTCACTCAAAACAAGGTTCGAGAGCTACACAAGGTAGAGGATTATTGTTGATATGCTTATGACGAATGAGGTGAGTTATGAGTGAAAGAGGAGGTGGTGAAGATAAGGATAAAGAGGATATATATATATATATATATATATATATATATATATAAGGATTTCATTGAATACGGCAGAGAAGGTGCTTTTATTTATACAATTTCTCATGCGATGTAATACTTTTTTTCTTTTCAGTTGATAAATATATAAAAAATATATTCTTTTTATATATACATTTAGCTATTTTATATTAAATATTTTAACTGTTAAATAAGAAATATTTGTTGCGTGTATGTTTTATAAAATAAAATATTAAAAAGTGCATAACACCAGTTGACAATAGAAAAACTTTCGATTAATTAGTTATTACAAAAAATTTAAAACCTCTAACCTTTATAGTTAAAAATAATAATTCACCTCGTAGAACAAAATTAAATAGTGCAAGTATTATTTACGAATTTAAATCTGTATTCCTGATTCGTAAATAATTAATAGGCCACACTACAACATGTTTGACACAAAGACTCACTCTACACCTCTCTGACCATAGCTCAATTAGATCTCATTTAAATATTCATGGCACTATTTTTAACATAGTTGTTGACAACGCTAATATAATAGCATCATCTACATGCAAAAAAGGCTAAAAATAATGGAAGCCTTATTCTTTAATAATATTGAACTATGAACATGGACACAATATCTTGAGCGTGTTTTGAAAAATTAAAACATTTTATAAAACATACGTACAACAAACTATTTCTTATTTAACAGTTAAAATATTTGATCCTTGAAAATGGCTAAATGTATAGCCGAAAGCGCTCGAATAAAAAGAACATTCGGACAGTTTTTATATAATTTATCATGCGAAAAGAAAAAAATATTAGATCGCATGAAAAATTGTATAAAAAACTAAATAAAAGCATCTTGTCTGTGGTATTCAATGAAATTGCATGAAAGAAGGATTGCTGCCTAAATACACACACACACACACACACACACACATACATATATATATATATATATATATATATATATATATATATATATATAATATGTGATTAAATAAGGAACAAAGTTAGAAAACTTTTATAAATTTCAAATGTTTTGCTATTTAGCTTCATCAAATTTCTTTTTTGAAGTAAAGTTATTTTCAAAATGATTTGGTATCATTTGTTGATAAACATCACATTATTGATAGCGTTAGCATATTCATATATATATATATATATATATATATATATATATATATATATATATATGTGTGTGTGTGTGTGTGTGATCTCAGATGAGATTGAAAGTACATGGGAAATAAAAAATGAAAAGAAAAGCAAAAGAACTATGACGCCTTTTTTTTTTAATGAATTTAATATCACCATTAAGAAGTCGATCATTTAAATTGTATTTAATGCTATTTGGTTACTGATGAATATTACGTCGAGGTTTTCCTTTTCTCATATGTCTCATTTTATTGTTTCCTTTCGTCAACATGACATGCTTTTTGTGTTCTTAAATTTCCACTGAGGATGCACATTATTATTTTAGCAGATATTATCTTCGAGTGCAACTTTGAAAATTGCTATTTTGGTTCATCTTTCAAATATATGCAGGTTGAAGCTTACTCTTGTGGTATTTAAACATCACAGGTTATTTAAGCAATTGCAACTGCCAAGTTTAAATAATTTGAACAACTCTTCGTAGAGTAATGGTTAGAAAGTTGGTCTCGCGTATCATTGTAAATGTTAATATTTGTCGTTTCCTTATAAGGAAACATTCGACATTCATTGACCAAGCAGCCAGCGCCGTCGCTTAAAATTTATAAACCTTTCTCTTAAAACAATTTTCCAGGTAAATATGTTTCTCACTTCTACAAACTGTTATCAGTACTGATGGCGGTTTCCTTCCTAACCTTTTGTGCGAAGTGGTGTGGAACGTCAACATTTTGATTAGGTCCTTATTTTCTTTTCAAGTTACATGTGATGTCCAAGTTGTTCTTGTTGAAATTCCTCAAATGATGTGGTTTCTGTTACTTGATATAATTCCTTTTGATTTTGTCAGGTTCGTAAGGTTCGAGGATGTGCTGGTGGTGTAATGAATAGTTGCTCTGAAGGAGAAATCGGAGAATCGAGTTCGAATTCCAGTTGAGATTGTTACTTTCAATTACGCGCAAATATTTATGAATCCATCTCTTCCCAGCTATGGATTAAATAGTAAGACTTTTATCCGGAAAAAATAACTTTTCTCGAAAAAATTGTTAATGTAATATTCACTCATAAAACATATTTTTATAATCCCAAATATGTTTCGGCGCTAAATAACTCACAAAAGTTTGATAAGCCGTAAAAAAACAAATCAATTAATAAAAAGTTTCGAAGAAGGATGGTCCTCCTTAAAACCTACTGGCTTTTTTTTGTTGCTTGAAGCAATTTATTTAGGAAACATTCGACATTCTATGACTGAACAGTTTATATTACTATCGACTGGATTTTATAATTTTTTTTAAAAACAGTTTTTCATGAAATTAGATTTCAAGTTCATTGTTTTTGCTCATTCTAGAACTGATCCGAGTTTTATTCCAAAAATTATGACTGAATAATGAGTCTCATTCACACTAGGTGCGCAATATTTGTGTCCTTCAGAGTCTGTCTATATTTCTGAGATGAGGTATTATGTACAGTATTTACATTAGTCGGACTATTGTCCTCATCTTTGTCGCCATATTTGTCACAACGTTTCGGCCGTTGTACGCTCCGGCCTTCTTCAGGTGGTTGGAATTTCGAACTGAACCCTTTATTTCGATCACTGGGGTAGACTGTTCTAGTTCCACGTGCCATGTTTGATGGATGTCAGTTATCAGTTATCTCCTGCTAATTTTCCTTCTGAAAGTTCTCCACTGCCTTAACCAGGTATTGAACTCACCTTCTTGTCCTCAAGGACACATGGCACAGTGGATAAAGGCGTTGGTTAGATCCAGTGACAGACCCAAAGGTTTGACGTTGTTTAACTTTAGTGATTGTACACGGAACCGGTGTTTCAGCGTGATATGGCCGTAAGCCCAAATTGTTTTAATGGCATATCCATAATCACCCATGTTCTTAAGAACGTGGGTGATCATGGCCCTTACAAGTTTCTTTTCTTTAGCAGCATTTTCTTGGGAAAGGTAATGGAGTGATTCCCAGTTATCCTTCAACTAGACTACTAACCAACCGAGGTTGTAGGGGGGGTTGTTGCGAGATGGACTCATACATTTCCCGGGGATATTTGTGTGAAAGTGAGTGCAACGCAATCATTGGGAATATGAACGCTGAAACCCGGTTTCAGTTTCTGTGCAGTTAAACGTTAAGTTAGGTTGTTTTAATGTATTACAAATTTTCCGGTGAGCTACTGAAAAAAAGACCCGTGAGAAATTATTACTAAATTCATTTTTCTGATATTACAGATGTGATCCTGCTGTCCGCATATCACGAAGTGTCGGCAACTTGTAGGAATTGTTCGTTGTATTTGGATTTTACACTTTGGAAGCCTGTCTTGGACAAAATTGCCGATTTCCATCTGTTAACAATAAGTGAAAAAGCGACAACATGCAAAATAGACTTTGGAGATTCGGACCGTAAACAAAAAGCAATAACCCCGGGTTTGAAAAGTCAACATTTGGTCCACACTTATCAGGATGCAGGCACTTACAATGTCATTTGCAAATGTGAAAATGTCAAGCAGTCTTTGTCTATAGTAGCTACAACCAGCCCATCATCAACTTTAAAGTTTGAAGCTGAATACAACCCCGGCTCGTCACTTGTAAATCTAAAACTGGAGGTAGACCCAGGCGAGTGTTTGGATAGTGTTATATGCAAGATATATTTTGGAAAGCAGAAGATAGGCTCTTTTACTGTACAGACCCTTCTTAGTGGCGTCTCAAAAGAACCCAAGGTAACTGGTTTTCTTCGTGTTGGTTTAGAATGCCCTTGTTCCCCTGAAATTATATACATGGAACAAACAATTCGAGTCTATAACGATTGTTTTGAAGAGTACTTATTTCGGCCATTTCCGCAGACCTCTGAACAAGATCCATTTGTAATCTATGAAAATAGCAATCTGCTTATTGAAGTGTCTCAGCCAATCAATTGTGCAACCGATATAATAAGTCGTGAGTGGACTATTAAGAAAAACGTTGGAGCAATATTCGAACCAGTGAAGTGGACGTTTTCAGATATAGCGGCTTTTCCCGAAAACGCTTCATTTGGTCTATACAGCATTGAACTGAACATCAGTACTGAACAGACGACTCAGACAGATACGTTATATTTGCTTTATAAGAAAATAATACGACCTCTGAATATCTATGGTGGTTCATTACAGTTTATGAACCCTTCTCAGACCGTTAGTTTGTTTGAAGAAGAGGAGCAGGAGGGTGTTCATTATTTGTGGTGCTATCATAAAGATGCATCGGCAATTAATATTACAGAACCTTTATTCAACATCGGACTACAAGAAAAAGTCAAATGTGAGCCGTTTACCAAAAATACGTCCATACAAGTCCCAGCGAATCTCGTTGGAAAAGTGCTGTTTATTCAAGTATTCGCGATTACGGAAACGGATTTCAGAGAAGGTCGATCGGTCATGAAATTGGTATCGATGCAAAAATCCAATAGGATACCAGTGAATATCAGGTAATGTAGACAATTATATAAATATATATATATTTTTTATTATTCAGTTCCCAGTACCGCTCGAATAAATAGAGATTCATCCTGCTAACCAGTGTCATTACAAGAGTCAGATCAGAACAAAAATTGATTATTGCAGCTATATATAGTCAGAAGTTGTTCCAGTCTTGAGAGAGCTCAAATGGGTCTCTGCGTCCTTGTGGGTGATGAATTATTATCCACCCTGCAACCACACTCTAACAAACGAAACATCACAAGACTCTCGTTACACAATCGCTTTTTTTCCATGAAATGTGTTCAAACAAACTACATTCCTTAGTTTCACCAGTTCTAACCTTTACGGCTAAAACCCGTCATGCCACTCAAATTGTTGCTAACCACCATCATTTCTTTTGTATTCTGTTATAGTGAAACACACCTATTCTATAGTTAATAGTCTCTCCCACCTATAATAAGTAAGACTAGTAAGAGTAACAAATCAGTCGCTGAGTCGCTCACTGAGTCCGACTTCCTTGACTTTTTGTCGTTATTTTTTATCGTTGCTGACAGCTATTTATCGCTCGACTCTTTTTGTTGGAATTAACCCTTTTGCATTTTGAACTTCATTTTGGTTAAGTTTGTTTATTTTATTATTAACTTTTTACGACTGTTTTGAAAAAGTTCTTTGATTTTTCTTTCTTCTCTCCATTTTATTCCTACCCCCAGCCTTAATTTTTGCTCTTTTCATTTTATTTTAGTTTCCCTATTTGATTTTCATTTTTACCCCCTTTAATTTTTGCTCTTTTTTCTTTTTATTCCAGTTTCCCTTTTTTGATTTTCATTTTTACCCCTTTAATTTTCGCAGTTTTTTCTTTTTTCGTTTTTTTCTCATTTCTAACCCCTTTAATTTTTGCTCTTTTCTTTTATTCTAGTTTTCCTTTTTAATTTTCATTTTCTTTAATTTCTTTTTTAAATCTATCTTCGTTTTCTTTATTCTGTATTTCGCTTTATTTTTTATTAATTTATTTATTTAATTGTTTCTTTCCATCCTTTAATTTTTACGTGTTTTTTTTGTTTGTAATCGTTGTATTGTCCAATTTATTTGTTTATTTTCTTTTGTTAATAGGTTCGACTCGCTTTTCTTAGGGTCGGCCATTTTGATTTTTTGTAACTAGCTTCGGCTATTGTCCTCGTTTCGTATTTTTTTTTTTTGTTTATTGACGTCGGCCATTTTGATTTTTTTAACTAGCTTCGGCTTTTGTCGAAGTTTCGTATATTATTTGTCTTCCGTTTTCATTGTCTAACGTTTTTATTTTATTGTTTATTTTCTTTATCGTGTTTTCTTTTATTGTTTCGCCTTTAGGCGATATTTGTCCTTTATTGTTTTTTCTAATTTTTATTGTATTTTTTTAATTTGTTAAACGTATAAGTGAACTGTGTTTTATTTGTTCTTTCTCGTCATGTAATTATTTTTGTGTGTGCATATTTATTTTATTTGTTCATTGTTGTCTCGCTTTTGGGTAAGCTTGTTTATTTTTTGACTTAATTTATTTATTCAAATTTTTTTTTAATTTATAGTTTTTCGCCTTTGGGCGAACATTTAAATCTTTTTATTGTACGTTTTATTTTTATTTTTCCTTTCTGTGCTTTTATTTGTTTGTCTCGCTTTGTATTTTTAATATTTGTGAAACTTTTTGACCGTTAATTTTTCTTTTTTTCTTCGTCTTTAAGGCGGAATTTATTAATTATTTCCCACTCCTTTTTACCCCTTCCTTCACCATTAAAAAATGGAAAAGGAAAAAAAATCGCCTTCCTTTTTAATAATTAAAAAAAAACCTAACCTGGAAGACTATAAAAAGTCTATTAGAAAACATTTGTTTAACCCCCTCCCCGCAAAAAAAGACTCCCCCTGATAAAGACAGTTTAAAGGAATACCCAGCCCTTGATCCCATTTCCTCTAGCGAGGATGACAGTGCCGGAAAGAAGAATCTGAATATAACCACTCAGAGTATGGAGGCCAATAATGGCAATAACTCCAATGAAATAAATAAGGAGGCCAATAATGGCCATAAACTCAATAATGACATGGATGCCAAGAATGGTTCACAAGAAAAAACTAAGGCCGGGGAATCGCCCTCTTGTTGGTCGTCCCCACCAAAATGTATTATCAATTTAGCGGAGTTCTTGGAGCGTGCTAAGAGTTACTCTCACCATTGTCGTAAAAGGTGGACACTTAGAAGACCCCCCACAAGAATTGAAGAAAATTGAGAAACGAATTGTGTCAGTTTTCGTCGTCAACAAGCGTACGCGCAAAATTTGTCGCTCGACGAAAAACAGTGTTGAAAACACTGGAGTCCTTGGGGTTTAAGCCCCTCAGAGTAGTTAAAGGTGCCAAATTTTTCATGTGGGACGTACTGTTATCTACGCCAGAAGACTGCGTTGCCGCGGCTAGCCCCGAGCTAATAACTAAAGAGCTTATCTTAAGAACGGAGTACGAAGGCCGAAGAAGGACCAGCGTAGCAGTATATGAGGTCCTCGCTGATTTTTTTTCCCAGTACGGTGAAATTCTGGGCACCTCCTGTGATAGCCTGAGCGTGGGGGGGAGCTTTGATATAATGTTTGGACGAGAAAGCCTTCCGCTCCATCCCCAACTGTCTGAATGTTGGAAGCTTGAAGTTACCGGTCATTGTAACGGGCCGAAGACCGGTATGCTGGAGGTGTGGAGTGACTGGTCATCTCTCCTCCTCCTGCCCAGAGAAGAAGGCCTCTGGTAGTCAAGCTCCAGTAGCCCAAGATCCTCCTCTGACTGCGTCTGTACCTTCCGCCTCGCCAGTAATGGGCGTACCAGCTTCCGGGACCGGGTCGGTTATTCCTCCGGTTGGTGCAACATCAAAGGCCACATTCCCCAAAGAGCCTTCGCTCGCTGCTAGTGCTGATTGGCGAGCTCGTTCAAAGAGCCTTTAATAATATCTCTCCTAGAATAACAAATGTCGGCAGGTCAGCTTATTAGATATTACCTCATGATATACTAAAATTACAATCATCTAAGACAGTTGTAACTGCCGATCATAAAAAAATAGTCTGAAAACTTCTGGAATGCCCCTCGTAAGTGTATACTTATATAGATATTTACTCTGGCCTCTCCACTGAGACGAAATGTGACATAAGGTCATGGGGGAAGATGAGCGCGTACACCCGGACCAAGGACAAAAATTTCCCAGCCCCTGCATCCGTCGGTTGCGCTGGCATCGGTATAACTACCGATTCTCCGTCTTTAATGCAATGGAGCGGCGGGTGCACCCTCGAGGGGTGATTTTCTAATAGTATCTTAGATGTGGCACAAGGACGAAAGTATAGGACACTCGGTAAGGACGGAAATTCCTATTCAGTCGTAATTGATCTGGCAAAACAAGCTTGCTAACCATTACACCAGGTCGAAGTGTCCTCCTAACCTAATATGTCGTATCATAGCACAGATGGGTGTCACCATAAAAGAGTGGACAATCATAAAGACGCAAGGTATGATATTTATATACCGAGGACAAGAGGCCCAACGGTAACTGACACTGAAAATGTTAACTGTGGCAAACAGGCAATGGTCATGAAGACTGCTTGTCTGCTGGACGAATACGGCGTAGAGCGTCAGCGCTCATCAGAGGCAGAGGACAGCGATACGCCCATTTAAAACTTATGTCTGTAATATGTATGTGCGTGTACGCGATTTTGAGTATGTGTGTGTCTGTGCATAATTGGCGAGAGAGAGAGAGAGAGAGAGAGAGAGAGAGAGAGAGAGAGAGAGAGAGAGAGAGGGAAATACGTTTGCCACCTTTTGTGGAGTTTGTTTGGAGGAGGCACGGTGGAGTAATGGATAACAGCTTGGATTGAGGAATCGGAGAGCCGAGTTCGAATTCCAGTCGAATCCATTACATTCACTTACGTGCCTTGGGAAAGGTGTGAATCCTCTTTCTTCTCCCTCCAGCTATGGGTAAATAGCAGGGCAGACTGGGTTCTATAGCCTTGGATGGCAACAGGTCTAGGAGAAGGAAAACTCTGAATTCAAAACCTGCTCTTAGAGGAGGGTGAATGGAGTCTCTCTGAGCCTTGGTTGGCAATCCATTTAGTGATGGTGTCACGATAAAAACACCCTTGATAGCCCTAGCGAAGCATCAAGAATTCAGCTATTTGACAAGATTATGAATTACACCAATCAAAAGTATTAGTGAGGCCGCAAGAGAGAGAGAGAGAGAGAGAGAGAGAGAGAGAGAGAAGTTTGGTTACCGCGAGTTTGTCTCCTATGAAAGTCAAGTTTAGTGGTGAGTGAAAATTAGAGGCAAACCACGCTCCGATATGGAAATATAAGCAGAAAATAAAATAAAATAAAAATAGAATAGTTTAAAAGGAAAACTTTCGCTTCCGCAGTCAACCAAAAACAGTGATAAAGGATAGATACCCATATCCGAGAATGCCTGTCTTTTAGGGCGGCTAGCCAGTCCCTGTTGCAGACGTCTGCTCAACCAAATTCGTGTTTTTTTTAACAACCACAGACTTGGTTTACACTACAACTATACTGAGCGAACCTTAGTTACGGTTTCTGGGAGAAAACGCATTATCTAGCGTGAACAACAATTTGAAAAGATCCAGCACACTTACACCCTCGATCACGATGACTTCTTACTTCGTGCTAGCACAACCGTCTAACAGAATAGGATGTCATATGCTCACTAATCATTGAGAAGATAGGGTTTATTAAAAGTTATTAAGAGCTACAGATGACGAAAACTTGTGGAGAGCCATGATCGCCTACGTCCTGAGGGGACACGTCACATAAAGAAGAAAAAGATACAAAGTTTTTCGCAGAGAAAATTCGTGTAATGTCTATGGATGGATTGACGGCTAGTTACACGTTCCAAAAATGCAGTAAGCAAGTATCACTTTCTTCCAAACCAATAACATCAAGAAATCACCTTCATGAAAAGTCATCCATGGTGAGATTCGAATACGGGTCTCGTGGTTAGAAAGGGAACGTTCTATTTTTCCGAAATGCCACTCTATCTGTCCCCCTCCATCTCTCTCTTTCACACACACACACACACACACCAACATCATCATCATCTTCAGGGGTGCAAATAGTACAAAATTATACAAAACTTGAAACCCTGAAGTTGATCTTAGAAGAAGACCGAAAGTACTTGGTAACTGAAAATAAAAGAAATTTAAACAGTTAGGGCACATTTCTCTCATCCTTTAACACCAATACGGAAGGTTATTCGTGAGTATGAACGGATTTTGTTCAAAATTAGCAGACATAATGTCTGTAATTTATTCAATCAGACATATATATATTTATGTAATTTGAATAAGATATGTTTAGGTATTCATCGGAACAAGTTTAACAAATAAATGTGCACAACGTCAGTTCATCTATTTTTTTTTTATTGTAGTTTTCCAATTTTCGAATAAAGTATCGGATTTGGGGATAAACTGTCCGGAGTTGTGTTATTTTTGTTTAAGTACTTTTTAACGTTTCATCCATTTTCAAGGCCCAATGACGTGGCTGTGCGGAAGAGAAAATTCCTTTGTCTACATCCTACATCTAAAGGTAAAAGTTGTACACCATATTGGTTCTTAAAAATAACGTAGACATTCGAAATATCTTGAGCAAGACAACACTGAGAATTGAGAAAGAATCGTGAATGAAGAGTGCTCATTAGAAATATAAAATAATTGTAATTATGAATCCAAACTCCTTTTATTTATATATTGTTTCTATCTTTTTTTTTTTAGATGTATCTACAACTGTGACGGTCAAGTTTCGACAAAAATGAACTTGGTTTTAAATTCAGAAGTAGATGAAATTTATAGCCTGGAGAATTCATCGGTTACTTATCAATGGTCTATAATGAAATTTAAATCAAATAAATATTCCGTATTTAAAGGAGAAGAAATTTGGTCTGAGGGTAAGTTAAAAAATTCTTTACATAAATTTTAATAAATCTTCTCATGCGGTTGCAAATTCTGTCAATGTTCTAGCTCAAGTAGAGCTATAGCTGTATACCTAACATAGGCTGATCAAAAGGCACAGTTCGGAAATAATTAATGTGAAGAAAAAAAAAAAAACCGTTTAATTGCAGAAACCTGAACATTTGCTCATTTGATAGGAAATGTCTCACAAAATGTGTTATATATAAAGCGTAAGAAATGTAAGAAAGGAAGTCATTTTAAAGATGTAAAACAGATGAAACATTAAATAAGCACTTCATTCAAATTAAATATAAACTCTATTTCTATTCACCCCCGATATGGATACCCGGGGCCGTCGGACCCTCTACCCTACATTTGAACGCAACGGGGACAGAGAAAGTTCTGAAAGAAGGGGCGAGAAAAACTCAGCATATATTTCTGGATGCCCTCCCTATATATATGCCCGGGACCGACGCACTCTCGACAGGGGCAGGGAAAGTTCTGAGAGGGGATAACATCAACATATATTTGTGGATGCTTTCCCTATATGTATGTCCGGAGCCGACGAACTCTCTACCCTACTTTTGAACGCTACTGGGGCAGAGAAAGTTCTGAGAGAGGTGACGGGGCCTCATCAACATATATTTCTTGATGCTCTCCCTATATGTATGCCCAGGGCCGACGAACTCTCTACCCTACTTCTGGGGCAGAGAAAGTTCTGAGAGGGGAGACTGGGCCAACTCAACATATATTTCTGGATGCACTCCCTATATGTATGCGCTGATTCGACGCACTCTCTACCCTACATTTGAACGCTACTGGGGCAGAGAAAGTTCTGAGAGGTGAGTCGGGGTAACTTCAACATATATTTCTCGATGCCTTCCCTATATGTATACCCGGGGACCACGCACACTCTACCCTACTTTTGGAGGCTACTGGGACGGAGAAATTTCTGCTAGGGGAGACGGGGTAACATCAACATATATTTCTGGATGCCTTTCTTATATGTATGCCTGGGGCCGACGAACTCTCTACCCTACTTTTGGACGCTACTGGGACAGAGAAATTTCTGAGAGGGGAGTCGGGGTAACCTCAACATATATTTCTGGATGCCTTCCCTATATGTATGCCCGGGGTCGACGCACTCTCTACCCTGCTTTTGAACGCTACTGGGACAGAGAAAGTTCTGAAAGAAGGGACGGAGAAAACTCAACATATAATTCTGATTGCCCTCCATATATGTATGCCCAGAGGCCACGCACTCTTTTACCCTGCTTTTGAACGCTACTGGGACAGAGAAAGTTCTGAAAGAGGACTAGGAAACCCTCAACATATAATTCTGATTGCCCTCCATATATGTATGCCCAGAGGCCACGCACTCTTTACTCTACATTTGAACGCTACTGGGGCAGAGAAAATTCTGAGAGAGTACTCAGGGTAACCCCAAAATATATTTCTGGATGCCTTCCCTATATGTATGACCGGGGCCGACGCACTCTCTCCCCTACATTTGAACGCTACTGGGACAGAAATTTCTGCGTGGGGGGTTGGGGTAACCTCAACATATATTTCTGGATGCCTTCCCCATATGTATGCCCGGGGCTGAGGAACTCTCTACCCTACATTTGAAGGCTAATGGGGCAGAGAAAATTCTGATAGATGAGTCGGGGTAACCCCAACATATATTTCTGGATGCATTCCCTATATGTATGCTCGGGGCCGACGAACTCTCTACCCTACTTTTGAACGCTACTGGGGCAGAGAAAGTTCTGAGAGGGGAGTCGGGGTAACCCTAAGATATATTTCTGGATGCAATCCCTATATGTATGCCCGGGGCCGACACACTCTCTACCCTACTTTTGAACGCTACTAGGGCAGAGAAAGTTCTGAGAGGGGAGTCGGGGTAATCTCAACATATATTTCTGGATGCCTTCCCTATATGTATGCCCGGGGCCGACGCACTCTCTACCCTACTTTTGGCCGCTACTGGGACAGAGAAATTTCTGCGAGGGGAGTCGGGGTAACCTCAGCATATATTTCCGGATGCCTTCCCTATATGTATGCCCGGGGCCGACTAACTCTCAACCGTATTTTGAATGCTACTGGGGCCGAGAAATTTTTGAGAGGGGATTTGGGGTAACCTCAACATATATTTCCTAATGCCCTCCCTATATGTATGACCGGATCCGACGCACTCTCTACCCTACATTTGAACGCTACTGGGACAGAGAAATATCTGACAGGGGAGATTGGGTAACCTCAACATATATTTCTGGATGCTCTCCCTATATGTATGCCTGGATCCGACTCACTCTCTACCCTACTTTTGGACACTACTGGGTCAGAGAATCTTCTGCGAGGGGATTTGGGGAAACCTCAACATATATTTCTGGATGCCTTCTCTATATGTATGCCCGGGGCCGAGGAAATCTCTACCCTACTTTTAAATGCTACTGGGGCAGAGAAAGTTCTGATAGGGGAGTTGGGGTAACCTCAACATATATTTCTGGATGCCTTCCCTATAGTATGCCCGGGTCCGATGCACTCTCTACCCTACTTTTAGACGCAACTGGCACAGAGAAATTTCTGCGAGGCGAGTCCGGGTAACCTCAACATATATTTCTGGATGCCTTCCCTATATGTATGCTCGGGGCCGACGCACTCTCTACCCTACTTTTTAACGGTACTTGGGCAGAGAAAGTTCTGAGAACGGAGTTGGGGTAATCTCAACATATATTTCTGGATGACCTCCCTATATGTATGCCCGGGGCCAACGCACTCTCTACCCTACTTTTGGAGGCTACTGGGGCAGAGAAAGTTCTGATAGCAGAGATGGGGTAATCTCAACATATATTTCTGGATGCCCTCCCTATATGTATGCGCGGATCCGACGCACACTCTACCCTACTTTTGAACGGTACTGGGGCTGAGAACTTTCTGAGAGGGGAGTCGGGGGAACCTCAACATATATTTCTGGATGCTCTCCCTATATGTATGCCCGGAGCCGACGCACTCTCTACCCTACTTTTGAACGCTACTGGGGCAGAGAAAGTTCTGAGAGGGGAGTCGGGGTAACCTCAATATATATTTCTGGATGCCCTCCCTATATGTATGCCCGGATCCGACGCACTCTCTACCCTACTTTTGAACGGTACTGGGCCTGAGAACTTTCTGAGAGGGGAGTCGGGGGAACCTCAACATATATTTCTGGATGCCTTCTGTATATGTATGCCCGGGGCCGAGGAAATCTCTACCATACTTTTGAATGCTACTGGGGCAGAGAAAGTTCTGAGAGGGGAGTTGGGGTAACCTCAACATATATTTCTGGATGCCTTCCCTATAGTATGCCCAGGTCCGATGCACTCTCTACCCTACTTTTAGACGCTACTGGGACAGAGAAATTTCTGCGAGCTGGATGCCTTCCCTATATGTATGCTCGGGGCCGACGCACTCTCTACCCTACTTTTGAACGGTACTTGGGCAGAGAAAGTTCTGAGAACGGAGATGGGGTAATCTCAACATATATTTCTGGATGCCCTCCCTATATGTATGCCCGGGGCCGACGCACTCTCTACCCTACTTTTGGAGGCTACTGGGGCAGAGAAATTTCTGATAGCAGAGATGGGGTAATCTCAACATATATTTCTGGATGCCCTCCCTATATGTATGCGCGGATCCGACGCACACTCTACGCTACTTTTGAACGGTACTGGGGCTGAGAAAGTTCTAAGAGTGGAGTCGGGGTAACCTCAATATATATTTCTGGATGCCCTCCCTATATGTATGCCCGGATCCGACACACTCTCTCCCCTACTTTTGAACGCTACTGGGGCAGAGAAAATTCTGAAAGGGGAGACGGTGTAACCTCAACATAAATTTCTGGATGCTCTCCCTATATGTATGCCCGGAGCCGACGCACTCTCTACCCTACTTTTGAACGCTACTGGGGCAGAGAAAGTTCTGAGAGGGGAGTCGGGGGAACCTCAATATATATTTCTGGATGCCCTCCCTATATGTCTGACCGGGGCCGACGCACTTTCTACCCTGCTTTTGGACGCTACTGGGGCAGAGAAAGTTCTCAGAGGTGAGACGCGGTAATCTCAACATATATTTCTGGATGCCCTCCCTATATACATGCCCGGAGCCGACGCACTCTCTACCCTACTTTTGGACGCTACTGGGGCAGAGAAAGTTCTGAGTGGGGAGACGGGGTAAACTCAACATCCTAGGTGGAAAAGGAACCGCCAAGTCATTTCACTATTTTGACTTGGATGTCACTCTGAGCCACATTTACAACAGAAATAGGAAGAATGGTGAGTACAGCCGCGCAAAATGCGATAAATGAACAAATAAATGTATTTTGCAAAACCAAGAAGGAAGTCCAAATACTTTTTTAGAGAACTTTCTAAAGACCTTGCTAATAATGAAATGACTTATTTTGTCTACAGTATAAGACGACTTTCAAATTTTCAAGTTAATCTATTGGTTTCTGGCTACATTCGCTGTACAAGATGTCTCCCTCCACCAATTCCTATTTTAAAATATACTGAATTTATTAAATGAATTCAGTAACTATATACTTTTTTTTACACTCAAATTATAATAAAAAAACGGGTGGGAAGATATTGTCAATTAACTACCAAAATCTGTAATACCCCATGAGTGGATCCTGTGTTTTCGGTAGGCTATTACGGTAACCTGAGTAAATTTTACCCGCTTATTCCACTGTTTTCGAATGCGATAATTAAACGTTTATGTGGGAGACACATTTTATACGTTGTGTATAAGACGGCCCCATCTTTCGGGGCGGGACCTTTTTTAAGTGCAAAAGGTCGCCTTGTACGGTGACATATACGATACTTAATTAATCTTTATTTTTTCCTAGGTTCAGACACGTCGGCACTTACAGTGATAAGCGACAACTTACCTACGAATACCTGGATCAAAGTCTGTGTCAAAATCAAGAGCACGTCATTGAAAGCCTCGACATGTAACGAGGTATTTTGCGGATCGCCCCCATCAAACGGCATATGTTCGATTTCATCTTCCAACGGAGTTGCTCTGGAAACTAACTTTACCATAAAGTGTACTGGTTATATTGACGACGGAATCAAAGCCTTCAGAGCGTTTGCAAATCCATACCCGTCTTATGCCGGGATACTGTATGTCGTCCTGTTTGTATCAGACGAAAACATGGTAGTTATTTATTATGGAGGTAAGCGGATTAATTGATATATATGTGATATAACTTTCATTTTAACGCGTTCATTCTATATTGATTCTTCCTCTATGTGCCATGACCCTTCAGAAGATTGGCAATCATGGCTGTCCAAAATGTCCTGGCTTTTTTTTAGCCCTCAGTAAATGTTGTCTTTTCGCTATCGCTCCTAACTCCTGTTCTACCCTTCATCTACACAAGCTCGTTAGGTAAGTTGTGCGCCATCCAGGGTATGACGATAAATAACCTCCGGCAGCAAGGTCTCAGGTTTTGAGGAGCGTGGAACCACCACTTAATTGCTGTTGTTCCCAGGTCCACCCAGACATGAGGTTGTAGCACCTGTTGGGGTCCCAGCTATGAGCAAATAGTTAACATCCAAACTGGGGTTAAAACACTATGAAAGTTTAAAAATAGGTTTTTATAGTAAAAATACTAGCAGTACTTTAATTGAAAATCTGTCACCAGAAATACATTTAAAAAAATATTGCCATCAATACATTTTTGCAAAAGAATATGACCAGCAATACATTTGACTCTCGAAAAAACCTCTCTTTACGAAAATATGTCACTGAAACCGGATATACAAACTGATTTCTTAAAAAGAATACGTATTCTATTTATAAGAACGTACCCTAAAAATCTTGTCGGCATTAAATAACCAATTGAGGTGTTGATATGCTGTAAGACAAAATAAACCAAACTAAAAATACGTCAATGAAATCTGATCTACAAATTGATTTCTTACAAAGAATACATATTCTATTCATACGAACCTATCCTAAAAATCGTGTCGGCATTAAATAACCCATTGAGGTGTTGATATGCTGTAAAACAAAATAAACTAAACTAAAAGTACGTCAATGAAATCTGATCTACAAACTGATTTCTTACAAAGAATACATTTTCTATTCATACGAACCTATCCTAAAAATCTTGTCGGCATTAAGGTGTTGATATGCCGTAAAACAATGCCATTGAGGTGTTGATATGCCGTAAAACAAAATAAACTAAACCTAGGTTATGCGCTGATTTACTCTGTCCGTCTTGCCTTTAACATGTGGGAATTAGATTTATAAGCCCTCTTTTCACATTATGTTCCCTAGAAATTTCAACAGATTCTTCCTGATGTTAGTTACAAGTTTCTTCTCGTTTCCATTTTCTCAAAACATTCGTCTTTATTCACATGTTCGGTCGATGGTATCCTCAGCATTCTTCTGTAGTGCCACATTTCTGTTTCTCCAAGTGTCTTCATCTGTGAGGAGATTGTCCTGCATTCACTGCCATATAGGAGGATCGATATTACTCTTTTCTTTGATTCTTACGAGATTTTCCTGTTTTTTAATAGTTTGTTTAGCTTTTGGAAGTCATCTTTCGCTATACCAATGCGACTTCAGACTTCGGTGTCGCGTTTGCCGTCCTCTGTTAAAACTCTTCCTAGATATTTGAATTTTTGTCCTTGATTTCGATATCTCCAATTTGTAATGTTGGGCAGTCCCTTTTGCTGAGAACCGAATTAGTCCCGCTTTTGATTGCATGTCTCTAATTCCTCTTCTGATGTAGTGACTGCTTACGGTAACAGTATAACTGTGTGTTTTTTTTCAATCTATTTTATACAAGAATAATTGATTTTCTGTCCGTCGCATACTGTCTGCGTCTGGTTTTGCAAGCGCGCATGTAACGTACATGCGTAGGTCTATGTTGTGCATGAGTGACTCTGGAACAATAAATTATCCTTTTACTCAGTCTGGACAATCTCTACCCTGAGCGAGCAATGAAATCATAAAGTTGAAAACGAGAGGGAAAAATAGTAATTTCTTTAAAATGTAAAACAAATACAGTTAAATTTTATTGCACTTTTCGAAACTTAATTCGGTGATAAATAGAATTACTTTAATTGAAAGAAAAATTAGAAATATTTTAAAGTCTGAATTTAAATATGCCTGTGCACACGCAAATGTACATGCACACAAACTGAATGAAATTGAAAGGCACTTCTATGTTGCGAAGTTTAATTTCCCAACTACCTCTTCTACTCCAACAGCTTCTTTTCTCGCACTTCCCGACAGTGGAACTCCCTTCCTCTTACTCGCTTCTCTGATAACTATAATATTCAAAAATTTAAATGTAATGTTAATCGACATCTTCTGATGCTTTTATCTCAGTTTTTCTTTTTATCCTTCTCACCCCCCCCATATCCTTTTCCCTTACTCACACTCTCTGTAGCCTCTTGCGTACTAGTGGCACTCTCGCCTTGCTTGGGATGAATTGCTTAAAAAATTGGCAACAACTCCTGGCTAACAGGAAAAAAGTATAAGCTGAAATATATGTCTCTTTGAAATCATTTTTATAACTCCTTTTCAATTTAAACCAAGTTTTCTTCTTTTTTTGTGTGCAGTGTCCTTTCAGGTCGTTAGCGATCAGGTCTCTTCATAATATTCTGTCCTTTGAAGCTTTTACTAACTTTTGTCTTGTCTTTTTGTCATCTCTCCCAAACCTTGCTCCGACTTCCATTCAATCAATCACGACAGGTAGGTCTTGCGTTGCTTTGCTCTGGACATGTTACCTTCGATTTGTCCTGTGAGAATCAACTAGTCCAACTTCTCTTTCCTCAATATTTGCCCCAGAAATTTCAACTGTCTTTTCTTGATGATTATCCTTTTTGTTGCCATTGTTTCTAGAACTTCGTCGTTGCTCACATGTTGGGTCCATGGTATTCTCAGGATCCTTCTATAAGAACCACATTTCTGTCGCGTCAAGTTTCCTCTTTACCTGTGAGGAGATTGTCCATCACTCACTACCATACAGGATGACATATATCACGTAATAGTTTAGTTAGTTAGGTAGGTAGGTAGGTTTTCTGTCATATCTAATGCCAGATCCTGTTTATATATATATATATATATATATATATATATATATATATATATAATGTTCAGAGATTCATACTGACCCCAGCATTCACTGCCATAGAACAGATACATGACTGATGAGGCAGTAGGATGCTATTTCTTTCTTCGGTAGAGCAGTTGCCTATTTACTCATAGCTGGAGAAAAAGAGGATTCATACTTTTCCCAAGGGTATTAGCATGTAAGTGAATGTAATGGATTTGACTGGAATTCGAACTCGACTCTCCGATTCCTTAATCCAAGCCGCTATCCATTATTCCACTGTTACATACAAAACAGTTCTCTACGACATTTTTCTGTTTCTTCATGCTTTGCTAAGCGTTTTGGAAGGCATTCTTCGCATCCTTAATGGGCCTTCGGCTATGAAATTTGATCCTCTTACCGTCAGATAAAAGCGACAGATACCGAACTAATATTATTTAACCTCCACCGAATAAACTTTGAATATTCTTCAACCACTGCGAATGGTAATACACTCAATGAGGCACCGATGTTTTGAATGTCGTCTGGGTCTCATTTTCACTCCAGACTTCAAGGAAAACTCATATATACAATCCATTGCTAAAGATGATGGAAAAATGATCGCCTCATTCTATCGCCCCAGAAAGTATCAAATCCAATCTTCTATGTTTTATATTATACAAGAGTCTAATTGGACCAAAAACAGAGTATGTTCAATCCTCTACACTACTAGCAGGGATCCAATTCGTTTACGCGGTGCTGTAGGAGAATGCTTATTTTCCACTATGCAGCCTCTTTCCCCACAGGTGCAATGTTGTATGTGCGTCACTACTCTATCGCTATTTCCATGGCAAATGTTCAGATGAGCGCCACATTTTTTTTTATCATTTCACCCGCAAGTAAAGAAATAATGTGACTAAGACGAAAAGGAATTACTGGGGAGGGGAAAAATTGAGAAGGTTTTTTTTTTTTTTTTTTTTTTCCTTTTGGAAAGAACCGGAAAACAAATCCTGAAAAGAAAACAAGGGATAAACCTCTACGCTTGTTAAAAAAAAAACAAACATGTTTCGACTTTTACTAGATTCTCCTGCACACACACACATACACACATAAACACACAAAAATGCCCACACACAAACACACACACGCATACTCGCACGTTTGCACACGCATACGAACACGTGCGCACACACCCACGCACACACATATACACGCGTACGCATACACACACTTAATAATATGAGAGATCGAATATTTTCGTAAAAAATCTCATTTATAATTGTGAATTATTTTTTTCTGTTTTAGTTTCTCCACAAATTGGGCCGTTTTATCTTGGCGCTGGAGACAGCGGTACACACGAGGCAAAACTATATATACGTGTCTATGATATGTATTACTCATTTGACAATATAACAGTTGACATGACGGTATGTATTTCGATTCATTTAATACATTAATTGATTGATTTTCTTTTTTACTGCTTATCAACCTTTTGCAGGTTATCAAAAGCCAGAAAATATTTTTGCATTGTAAGCATTTTTGGTGAGATAATAAGGATTCTCCAATGCAAGTCTTACTATTTAACCCATAACTTGGAGGAGAATAGGTTCTGTTGCGCACGATCATAGAGAGTGTAAAAGGCAACAAGAGAGCCGCGCTGATCAATTTGGATCAATCCAAAGCATTTGACAGGGTTGGCCATCAGTATCTGGCTGCTGTCTTGCAGGACGCCGGATTCGAACAAATGGATTAGCCTCCAGTATCGCTCCCCCAGTGCTGCGGTACAGGTGAACGGAAGGCGGTCAAGCGATTTTGCACTAACTCAATCGGTCCGATAGAGGTGCTCACTGTGGCCCTTTGCTTTGCTGGCTTTACCTTGCTTTGGCGTTGGAGCCCTCTCTTCGCCGGCTAAGGGACAGTGTGTGCAGTCCCGCCCTACGCGGAATTGCCGTTTTCCCTGGTTGTGCTCGAGCTAGGGTTTCTGCGTACGCCGATGACATATCCATCTTCGTGCCGACAGTGACATAAATGTGGTACAGAAGGCGCTTGAACGGTACGAGAAGTTGACTGGGGCCAAGATTAACCTCCACAAGTCTTCCGGCTTGTGGTTATGTGCCTAGAAGGGGGTCGAACTTCCAGAGCGCTTCGGCTAGACAGATGGACCCGTCCGCATCCTTGGGGTGTGGTTCGGGCCCGGACTCCGAAGTACAGGCAAAGATCGGAGCGTCGGTTCGGACTTGGCTTTAAAGGTAGTTGTCCTTGAAGGGTGGGGCTGAGGTGTATGTCACTTACGTCTTGCCCCTCTTTACCGCTTGGCTATACTTCCTCTTTGCTGGAAACGTATGGTGGCGATCGAGCGTTTGTTGATCACCCTCTTTTTGGGTGGTCGCAAACACTGGGTCCATGTCATGGGGGCTGGGATTGCCACAACTGGCGAGTCATCGCCATGCCTCAAGTTTGGTTTTTCTATGCCGCGTTTTGACGGAGGACTCGATTTTGGCGCCGTGTTTTAGGTACGCCTTTCCTAATCTTACCATCACTTCCCCCATTTCTTGGGGTAAGCGCCGTCGCAGTCGTGGAGGGTTGTCGAGTTTCCTCAATGAGTGTCGGTCGGTCTTGAAGGTCATTCCTCGGTCCAGTGACCTTTCTCGGCCTCGGAGACTATTGTATCATGAATTAGTGGAGGGGGTCGCGAAGGATCCTCTGTGTAGCCGGCTCGGCTTGTCGGCATCAATGTTGCGCTCTTTTTGGACTTGGGCGCCAGCGGCGGATTATCTCAGCAACTCTGAGTTTTCGCTTAGGTGGCGATTGATTCGGAACGTGCTACCACTCACTCTTCAGATGGGGCCAGGCAGATTTGCCAGATTGTCATCGGTGTGACGTTGGCTTAGAGGAAACGGCTTCGCACGCCTTCTAACATTGTCCTCAGGTGCGCCCTTTCTGGGATTATATCGGCGAGTTGACGGCTTGTATCGCTCCCGATCAGCTCGTGTCCATCGATCTAGCGTACGCGTGTGACAATGTGTCGCCCCCGTTCTCCGGGGTAAAACGGATGGCGTTTTTTTTGCGTTGCTAGCCATGGCGAAAATGGTCGTGTGGATGTGGCGAAAGGAGGGAATCTTGCGAAATGAACGTTATTCGTATCAGGATTTGATTGTTTTCTTTAAGCATCAGCTTAATGTGAAAATCAGATCTGATCGAAAGCGTTTGATTTCGACAGATTTCAGTGAAAGTTGGGTTTACTAATGCGAGCTTGGTTCGTGTGGACGGGTCTAGTTTTGATTTTATTTTTTAAGTCCCCTTAACGCAACGGGGCGGTTTCCTGTTGACCTCCTCCCCCGGTTAAGCTAGACACTATTTTGTGTTCCTAGTTAATGTTGTTCCCGTCTTTTTCTTCTGTTATGATCTATGTCGAGATTCCCAATCTCCCCAGTTTGTTTTTGTAGCCTTCCTTTCAGCTCGACGGGGTCAGTCTTTGATTTTCCCCATTCCGTCATTTATTTTTCCCTCCCCATTACATTAGTGAGTGTGCTTCTTGATTCTGTCTATCGACAGAATACAGCGGCCACTTATTATTTTGAGGGGTGGATGGTTCCTACTAATATTGTTTTGTTTTATCTTTGGTTTACATTTTGAGTTTCTTGTCTGTGTTCATCTCCCCGTTCCCATCATTTCATTGTTCATGAAATTATATATATATATATATATATATATATATATATATATATATATATATATATATATACATGTCGAATTAATATAGCTCTATCTATATCTTATTCTATAAACAACAGCAACATGCGTTAATGCAAAGCTCTTCATTAAAATGAATTGGAGCACTGCGGCTGATTGGCATTTGTTTTCATTCGTAAAAACAATACGCTAGATTTAGTTGTTTCTCTCTGTCGATTGAAGATAACTCAATGGTAGAAACTGTGACTGATTGGTTGGGTTTCGATCCGGGCTTGAATTATTCGGATGTCTAGTCGCACCAAGGAGCTGTGATACCGCGAAACAGTACTGTCTTCGAATGACATATATATATATGAACATTACAAATTTTTACGTCACGTGATGTTTTGTAGGTCACTTGTGAATATGTGGTACTGTGGCATGTGTAGGATTGAGAGGGGATACATAAATTCTTGTGATGAATGTGTAATTGTAATGAATAAATGGGTCATGATTGTGTTCAGCTAGGAATAGAATAGTTAGTGAAAGACCAGCCTTTCCACACTTCCCCTTCGGCCTTGTGCCACAATTTTGTATTTTTTATACAAAATAAATATAGTCCTATTTAAACATTTCATAATTGAATGCAGTTACTGCAAAATGCCTACGAACTCCCGCCTTAATTAAAATGAAGAAGGGTAAATTTCTGTCTATAAAATGGAAGGAAAAACTATAATTTTAATTGCTAGAGAACTGTCGAGGTCCCGAACAGTTGTGTGAAATTATCTAAAGTACCCTGAATCGTATGACATCAGAAAACGTCCAGGTCTTCCACCTGAAATTACAAATGCAGCCAGACGTCAACTTTTTCGAGAAGCTTCTAAAGGACAATCAAGCGATCTGCAAAAATCTCTGAATTTACCCATCACTCCAAGAAGAGTTCATCAACTTCTCCATGAATCACCAAATCTCGTGTATCGAAACAGGAAAAAAAACCCTGCTTTAACTGCTAAACACAAAATGCGCGTAGATTGGGTTAAGAAAAAAGTAACATGGACAAAAGAGAAATGGGAAACCATGGTGTTTTCTGGCGAGAAAAAGTTTAATTTGGATGGGCCCGACGGCTACCAGTGTTATTCGTATGATTTCAGAAAGGAGAAGCAGCTGTTTTCAAAAAGACCGTTTGGAGGAGGTTCTGTCATGGTTTGGGGAGCTTTTTCTGCGTCTGGAAAGGCTGATTTAGTAATGATGGATGAGAAACAAAATTCTGCTCGATATATCAATGTGTTGGAAAAAAGTCTTGTCCCATTTACGAATCGTCTAGGCACCAATAATACTATTTTTCAACAGGACAACACAGCCATACACACTTCTAAGCTCACAAAAGACTGCTTTAAAACAAGAAATATTGAAGTTTTGGACTGGTCCACTAAGTCTCCAGATTTAAACTAAATAGAAAATTTGTGAGGAATTTTGTCAATAAGAGTATACAAAAATAAACGTCAATTTGAAGATAGAGAAACTTTAAAATCTTGCATTAAATAGTATTGGAATGAAATTCCATCTGAAACTCTCAGAAGACTTATTGATTCAATGCAAAACAGGTGTGTTATAGTATTACAATTGAAAGGGAATAAATGTAAATATTGAATTTTATACAATTTTGCTGTTAAATACAAATTGGTAAAACTGTTTTATGCTTATTTCCACCATTGAAAACGCATTTTCTTAATAACTTTCTCAATAACTTTTTTGGTGAAAAGTTGTTATAAAATCGAATATGTATACTAATACCATCGGATCTAGGTACCACACAAATTTTCAGTAATAAGAAAATTATTAACAATTTCATGGGGTGTCTTATATTTATTTCCACCATTGTATAAGGCCACATATCCTCTACCTTGAGTGGCTCTTGGGCCTCGTACTGGGTGAACATTTGTAAAAATAGCAAAAACAGAACAACAAAAATACACAATGTATGCATATTTATTCTGTAAACATACTTGAGGAGTATAAGTCCCCCCAACCCACCAGCTTCACCTCACCAGGTATTGCATTTATTTAGTATGTGGTCTATTTTCGCTGACTTATAACATTGCATCGTTTTCAGTCAGTGTTTTAGGCCCAGTTAACATGGCATTGTCATCTCGTCTATGGCATTGTCATATATACTAATGTCATATATATTAATGTCATATACTAATATAAGATTTCCCAGTATCTCAAATACTATGAATGTTTTGATTGATTTGTCTTTTACGGCTTATCAACCTTTTGCAGGTTATTTAAAGCTAGAACATATTTTTAGATTTTAAGGATGTTTTTGGAGATAATAATGATTTACTGATGGCGACTCTGATTGAGGAATCGGAGATCCGAGTTCGAAATCCAGTCGAGTTCATTACATTCACTTACGTGCTAATACCCTTGGAAAAGGTATGAATACATCTCTTCTCCTCCAGCTATAGGTAAAATCGCAGAACAGACTGGTTCCTATAGCCTTGTGTGGCAACCAGTCTAAGAGAAGGAAACTCTGAATTCAACTCACCTGCTGCCTTGTAGCTCCTGTCTCTTTAGACAAAGCCTAGAAGAAAGTAGCTTAAAAAACAAATCTACCTCTGGATACTCTCAACGTCCCCGGTAGAAAAGGAATTGGGAAGCCATTGCTATCCTGCCTTGAATGACACCATAAACAACAGCTGTAAAATGGAGCGGAGTGATGAGAGATAATTTATTGATAAGTCCTACTAATTAACCCATAGATAGGGGGAAGAAGAGGTGGAGCCAATTCTAAGCCATTATCCATTACACCACACGTATTATCCATTACAGTACGTAGCATTCCCAAACATTCACCCATCGAGGTAATGACCAAACTCGACGTTGCTTAACTTCGTGATCGTACGAGAACCGGTGTTTCAACGTATTTATGGCCTATAAACCATTATGAGATTTGTCATTTTAATCAGGATCTCATGACGATGTTATTTTATATTTTCACTTTTCATACATTGCAGGTGAAAATTCCGTCTACAATGGACCGTTCATTCGAAGACATTGAGAAATATTTGCTGGGGCGGATTTCAAATATAGATCATCTTCCACGTCAAGATCAGTTCAATATCTTGAATAGTGTCTCCGGAGTGATCAATAAAATGGTAAAATTCGTCCGTCTCTGTTTATATCGATCAAGAAAAGAATAGTTTTTCTTTTTTTGAAAAACACTATTTATATAAGTATGGCTTTATTGTGCTGCAGCAATACAAACCAATTAATAAAAAAAAATGTTTTAAATACGCTAATTCGAGTGAATTCATATCATTTATTAGTAATGCCTCCTCTTAGACAAACGGAACAATAGCATTTAATAATTGACAGGTAAAAAATATACTGAATATATATATATATATATATATATATATATATATATATATATATATATATATATATATATATATATATATACTTTAAAAATCAGGAGGTCAGTTGGTTTCCACCTTATGGTATCCTCAGGCGATTTTTATCAAATGACCTCTTAACTCTTTTTTTTTTTTTTAACTAATGAACACTATATTACTATACTAGCAGTATAACCCATCTTTGACCGGGTCTTTCATTACTTGGAATTTTTGGCGTCCAGTTGGAACAGTTTAAGTTTAAATTCAGCCCACCCGAAAATTAATATTAGTAACAACATTTGGGTTCAACTGAGGCGCATTCCCAAATGGGGGGGGGTAGCAATTTAAAAGGGAACTGTATAATAATAAATAATATTGCTGTAATAATTTAAACTATTTGTTTTTATTAAAGTTTTTTTTTATGAAAGATATATATCCAAGAACAGATAGTAAATAGTAAAACGTTGCTGAGGGTTATAATGGACAGGAAGTAGTGGAGAGCCATAGTCGCCAACAATTTGGACTCAAAATTGGCACTGAAGAACTATCTATCAAACAAAAAAAATATTAATCGAAATCGGATGAAAACTGTCGAAATGAATAAACAACATCCGATCACACACACACACACAAACACACAGACACACACAAACACATATTTTGAGAATTATAGAAATAGATCATTTTTTTAAAAAAATAAATAAACAAAAGTACGATGTTGGGTTTAATAGAAAGGAGAAGGAGGATAAAAAGAAGGAAGGTGAAGAAGAAGAAGAAGAAAAGAAAAGCATGGGTGTAAATGAAATGTACAGTTCTTTTAATTTTTTTTATTTATTTTTTTTCTCTACTGTTCTGATTCAAATCTGACCATTAACCCTTTATATATGTTTATATATATATATATATATATATATATATATATATATATATATATATATATATATATATATATATATATAAAGAAATGGACAAATTTATTTATTAAAGACATATATTTATGTTTAACGTTGTTATTTTATAGATACAAGTATTTAAGCAAATGCTCTGTTTATGATAAACAGTATTAAATAACATTTACCGGCCTGAATGTCCGAGAAATTTTCATAGAAAAATTTCGTTCTTTGACAGGATTCGAACCTGCATCCTATACGGAACCGTCATATACGCTGACGTGCCTTACCGCTTGAGCTACAAAGAACCAATCGGTAGACAAGGTCGAATTTACTGCTTATAAACTCCAATTTTCCATGAATCTCGTACATTCATAACTGCTCTGGCGTATCGAATGTAAACAAATGACGTCATATATTAAGAAATGGACAAGGTCCGACAATTTATTTATTAAAGACATATATTTATGTTTAACGTTGTTATTTTATAGATACAAGTATTTAAGCAAATGCTCTGTTTATGATAAACAGTATTAAATAACATTTACCGACATATTTTTATGTTTAACGTTGTTATTTTATAGATATGACGTCAAGTTGGAGTTTATAAGCAGTAAATTCGACCTTGTCTACCGATTGGTTCTTTGTAGCTCAAGCGGTAAGGCACGTCAGCGTTTATGACGGTTCCGTATAGGATGCAGGTTCGAATCCTGTCAAAGAACGAAAATTTTCTATGAAAAATTTCTCGGACATTCAGGCCGGTAAATGTTATTTAATACTGTTTATCATAAACAGAGCATTTGCTTAAATACTTGTATCTATAAAATAACAACGTTAAACATAAATATATGTCTTAATAAATATATGTATATATATATATATACATATATATATGCATATATATATATATATATATATATATATATATATGTATATATATATATATATATATATATATATATGTATATATATATATATATATATATATATATATATATATATATATGGTGCAGTGGATAAATTGTCGTCTAAATTACACAAAAATGAAAATAACACTGACATTTCATTTTAACAGATATAGTTACCAAAATGACACAAAAATAACAGGAATTACTAAAGAGTCAATTTATTCAATAAAATCGCCATTGTCTTTTATCACGACGTCCATATGATTTCGGAAATCTCCTGCAATTCTTTTGGGTGGTCTCCATGTTTATGTTTTGTGAATGCTGCCATAATCCTGGCCTTCAGTTCATGTTTTGGTCTTACAAGAAGTTTTGTTGGTCTCTCGCTCAATTGCTCAACTAAATAGACTCGTCAGATCGACACTTTCATAGGGATGTCATGTGTGGTGCCAAACCCGTTCAGACATATCTGAACTATCAGCTATATACAACAACTTTCTAAGATCAATGGTGAAAGATAAAAGGCTTTGAACGTGTAAAGCCTGGGGGTCTTGGCAAAGACGATCCTTCCTTGAACAATGTAAACTGGCGCTACAGAATTACGAAGAACTGTACTAAATAACAGAAACCACATCATTTGAAGACTACCAGCAGCAGCAGCAACAATTGAAATGGATAGCAAATGTAATCGAAAGTGAAGAAAAAATAAGGGCATAATTAAGGGCATTTGAATTACGCCGCTTCAAATAAAAGATTCGGAAGGAAACCCCATCAATACTGGAAAGAGCTTGAGAAACCTGTTTCCTTAAAAAAATAATTTAAGAGCGTGATTTTATAAATTTCAAGCGAAAATAGTACTGGCTGCTCGATCAATGAATGCTAAATGTTTCCTTATAGGGAAATGGCTAATATTACCATTACCATTCTATGTTCAATTTCCTTATCTCCTATACTAAGATTATTATTGGCAGGTGATCTAAAAAATGATCTACGTTCTGTTGTGAACTGAAGCAATGAATGGTTTGTTAACTTTAACGTCTCCAAAATGAAATTTCTCTTTATTAATCACCTGAGAGATCTCTTCCTGCCTCCCATCAGCATGGCTGATGCTAACCTCTACCAGAGTGATTCGTTACGCCTTCTAGGCTGATCTGAATTGGAAAAACTATATTAAATCCATTGCTAGGTCTGCTGATAAGAAAGTCGGTTCACCTTGTCGTGCTAGACAATCTTTCTCGTCAGAATCTATCTTTCATATTTATAAATCTACCATTCGTCCATGCCTTGAATACTGTTGCCAGATCTGATCCGGTCCTCTTGCTGTATATTTTGAGATTCTTGACAAAATCCAAAGAAGAATCGGCAATATTACTGGTTCTGACCTGGCATCTCGGCTTCAGTATACTTCCCAGCGTCTCAATATAGCTTCCTTGTACCTTTTCTATAAATACTTTCCTGGTAATTGTCCGGACGAACTCTTCGCTCTGGTAACTTCTTCTTTATGTATCGTGTCTACTCAGGACGTTGGCGATCATGGCTCTCCACAACTTCCTGTCCCTTGTTGCTCTTAATAAATTTTGTCTTTTTGTTAATTCTCCAAAACCCTGTTCCGTCATCTATTTACTCAAGCTCGCTAAGTATGTTATGCGTTATTTCCCTCTTTCTCAATCTTGCCTTCAATTTGTCCTGTGGTTTTCAGATTTTCCAAGGCCCCGGTCATTATGAACCCTAGAAACCTCATCTGTATCTTCGTGATATAAAGAATAAGTTTCCTTTTTTGTTTGCATTTTCTCTAAAACTTCTCACATGTACGGTCCATGGCATCCTTATGTAGAATCACCTTTCTGTTGCTTCAAGTCTCCCTCCATCTTTAAAGACATTGTCCAGGACTCACCGCCATACAGGATGACAGATATCTTTCCTTCCTTTTTACGTGCAATCATGGCTCTCCACCTCTCTCTATCCCTTGCAGATATCAACAAGTTCATTCCCCCTGCTCACCACTTGCTTAAGTCCGCTAGGTATGTCATACATTGTTTTCCCTTGTCTCTCTTTCTCTCTATTCGGCCCGTGAGTATCCAGGCCCTCCTTCCTCATTATGTGTCCCAGAAACTTCAACTGCCTCTTCCTGACATTAAGCCTCCTCCTTGTTTGCATCCTCTTTAAGACCTCATCGTTGATCACCCGTTCGGTCCATGATATCCTTAGCATCCTTCTGTAGAACCACATTTCTGTCGTCTCGAGTCTCTTCTTCATCTTTGAGGAAATCTTCCAACATTTTTGCCGTAAAGAAGGACAGATGTCACGTAACAGCTCAGTATTCTTTTCTTTGTGACCAAAGAAATCCTCGTGTCTCGCAGTAATCTGCCCAGCTTTTGGAATGGGTCTTTGGCCAGCCCAATTCGTGTACGGATCTCGGTGTCGCACTTACCGCCCTCTGTCAAGACACTTTCCAGATATTTAAACTTCCACGCCGCGTAATCGTTAGTATACTTTTCCTTCTTTCTAACGAATTTTTTTCTATTTTAATTTACGTAGCTTTTGGAATTCATATTTGACTATCCTAATGCGTCTTCGGGTTTGAGTGTCATTTTTCATCCTCTGTTAGAACATTTCCCAAACATAGTCTTCCTAAATCCTGCTCTTTTATTGTTTCTAACGATGTTTTTCTCTCTCTTAATATTCTGCTTAGCTTTTGGATGGCATCTTTGGTTATCCCAATGCGTCTTTGGATTTCAGTGG